AGACCTGTTGAAAACAGCATTGCAGCAGCTCTGTCACAACAGCTTGTAACAGACCTGTTGAAAACAGCATTGCAGCAGCTCTGTCACAACAGCTTGTAACAGACCTGTTGACAGGCCGTTGCAGGTCTGTCAGAACAGACAGGTACAAGGCGAGCGAACGCATCCAGATATCGGCTTGTTGACAACAGGATTTAACAGATCTGTTGCAGATCTGTTCCGACTTGCGCGTTTCTGGCTGTGTAGAAAATGAAGTTTTTTGCTGAATCATGCATCGTGACTTATTTCAATATATCGAAATCATCCCACCTCATATCTCGTCCTGGCAAAGCGGGATCATATAAACAGCCCCTTATTCAGTAAATTGCGCATGCTCCCTTGCCTTTGATCCCTTGGGTGTGAGGCAGCACTTTCCTTGCGATAGTAACTTCTAGTCTTTTTTTGTTAATTGGTCCAGTGTTACTTAGTATACAGAAGGAAAACTTAACTACACCGACTTTAGAAACCAAGAGTTCTTGCTTGCTGCATAATTGGTCACAGAAATGAACAATATTGTCTGAATTATTTCATTATTTTTAAAGCCTCTTGATGAGACTATTATGTTATAGATTTATTTCATTTACATTTTACATATCAACTACTGAAACTAAAATATTTCAAAAACGACAAGAAATAAGAGATGTCAGTTTTACATGTTCTTTCTCACTTATATTCTTTTGTCATCAGTAAACTCTTTAAATTTGGGGTTTTTAGTCCATGCATGCTCATGGACAAATATTACAGGAGATAAGACCTTGTATAGACGTTCAGGCAATTACATCGAAGCTAAAATTCCTAAACACTTTTTTAAAATACCGAACTTTCCTATAATATTTCTATTTACGCAATTTGAAGATAAAAACTAAGATAATCGCTCTGACGCAATTTGTCTTTCATTGTATTTTAATATGTCTTCATACCATAGGAATAAACCACAATAAGCTCCTTGACCTTGAATGTTTGCATGGCAAAAATAATAATTGTTTTGTTTTGTGGACAAGTTTATTTCTTTGCTTCGGCTTTGGCGAATCTTTCGTCTGATCCAAGTTCGGTCTTCATTAGTGCTGTTATAATTACACTGTCGCTGCAGGTGAAGATCCATACAGCCGGCTTACGGATTGAAAGCGGAAAATACAAAATAAACGTGATGCATGTTTGCACAAAATACCAAACAATTATATTTGTGGTATGCAATAAAAAAATGAACTAATAATTAACACCTATATAATTATATGTATAAAAAATCAATTGCGACAGAAGTGATAGAATTTGGCTTGCATATAGCTTTCGCGATTTTGAATATTCACGATATAGAATGTTACAATACATTTAAATTAAAATAGTTGATTGTGCTTGTCTCACATGGCAAGTGACTTTTCTGTGTGGCTATCTGTACCTCTAACGTTTGTGAGAGATTTTTGAGGGTTCTTGACCAAACATATACTCGAGCTCCAAGAAGAACAATTTAGAACTGATGGAGCTATTCAGTATCACTCTGAATTAACAAAGTAACTTTAAGACTACTTTAGGCTTTCTGCTGTCATGACATGAACCATTAATTCACTATCGGTGAGAACGGAGTTTAGGACTGAAAGAGCTAACTATGCAGTATCAACATCAGTACTAGTGAACTGTAGTTAGTTTTGGTTTTCTCCCGTTGTGACACTAACACATCAAATTATCCTTACTGGACCTCTGTTAGACCCTAATAGTGTTATCCAGTATAAATGAAATTTTAATTTAGTTTAGTTTAATTAGTGTCTCCATACACTGGACTTCGAAAAAGAACTAATCACTGACTAATGGAAGTGTAATTCCAAAACCGAATGAAACCGCTGTTGAAAGCGACGAAGTAGCTTCTGCAAGAATAACATTTGACATGAACGACAAATACAAGATCTAAATAAAAAACCTCAAGTATAAATTAGTACAGCTTCGTCCTGTAGTTACCATGGAAAAGTACATCTACCACAAAAAAGCTACCCAGTCATGAATATAAATGAATACGTTAGTCTCAATTTCGTTGAGCTTATACACGTCTGCCGTGGTCGCGCACAAAGCTCAAAATTAAAACAGTATTTAATATAAAAAATCAGTTAGCAAGACAATAGGTTGTCAATTTTGATATACAAAGATGCGTAGTTATGGCTGGTATGTCCTATAAGCCGTTTTGTTTATAAGAAGAGATTATTAATTGCAAACTCTAGACTTGCAGAACATTCAGGAACACAGGTGACTTTTTTAATTAAACAATTATGTATGAAAGGCACCCTCCAGGGATTGTAATAAGCATGATCAAGCAAATCATTTATCTACAATTTATTTCCCTGCTGTCTTTTATTAGTATGCATTCATTTCCTGGTTTGCTCCTGTTGGATTGCTCTCGCCTCTCGTTGGGGAAAACTAAGAAGATTTATCCAGTTCATGCCTAGAAGCCGAACCGGCAAGTGTGCTCGCATTCGAGTATAATCCATTGAGCTCATGAATAAAATTTTTGAGGTATGTTATGGAAAAACATCGTTTCTTATAGACTAGTTATTAATAATTGTATTTTTTGAATAGTTTCAAAAACTATTTCAATCAGGCGTTTGCACTGTATCGAGGGAAGAAGCACGCTGATGTTTAACTAGAGATTAAAGTTGCAACATATTCTGGCTGCCTGATTATTGAAGTAAAACTATATCTTTGGTGTTTGTGCGTTGTCAGTGTTAGTGTGTCACGTTTCTATGTTGTGTTTGTGTTTGGCGAAGTTAAACAAAAAAAATTTAAAAACTTAACTATAGACGCACTTAGCAAACGCTAGTAAATAAGTTTTCTAATCATACTCAACGAAGATATGATCGTCTGGAAATGCAACCGTGATGAATAATATTTAACGCAATTGAGACAAAAGATTTGTGCACGGTGAAGTACAATCCAACATCAAACAAAGACCTTCTATTTTGTAGTTTTGATGTTTGCCAGGCTTCCAGACCATCATATCGATCTTCACACTTATGGTCTAATCTGCAAAAGGCTCATCACGAAGTCTGTGCGGTTGTCCCATTATTTCAAAAGGTAACCTGTCCGTTTATACCGAATAATTCTCTCCTACCGCAGTTAGCAAAAACGGACTCCGCAAAATATTGACTAATCAATTTTAAAAATAAATAGATTATGCTATTTATACGGCAATTGCTTCGAAGGAAAATTTAATATTTTTAAACAGTGGGATTTCATGCACGCACACATAATACATAAATTTATAAAATAAACTATAGAGAGCACTCAGAGGCTGCACATCTTTAATTAATTTCTTCCTGCGCAATGTGCATAATATTTCCAGAAATTACCGCATTGATACGTTTGGTAGTTGTTGTGCTGACACATGCAGACACACCCTTACAAACGAGGAGGAAAATAGAATTCCCTGGCTGCTGGCGGAGATAATAAAGAACGCTCAGCATGGCCAAATAATTTAGCTGCATGACAATTAGTAGACGCAAGTTGACCATTTCAGTTACGTGTCATAACAAATTATTTGTTCGCTAGTAGCCCATGTCAACTTGCATCTAATAGTGGTTAAGCTAAATAAATTATTGGTCTATTATGTTTACGTGTCATGACAAATTCTTTGCTCGCTATTAGCTCATGTCATCTAACTAAATTGATCTATTGTGTTTATTACCAAGAGAACAAATAATTTTGCAAAACAAAATTCTTTTTGCTTTGTCTTTGAAAATCCCAAAAGTTAGGTTTCAGTGAGACACTTCGGCATGTGGTAATCAACGCATCCAGACATGCGCAGAGTGTACTGGGGCCAGAATGCTAAAACGACCACAAGGGAAGTGAACTTTGCATTATCGCTAATATACACCATTAACAACTCCGCAGAGTGCTCAACAACACCGAGTGAAGCAGCGTACATATATCTACTCGGATGGGGGCATATATATATATATATATATATATATATATATATATATATATATATATATATATATATATATATATATATATATATATATATATATATATATAAGAG